AAAACGATCCAACCAGAAGGGGGCCTACCGGTAGGCGGCGGGTTGTGTTCGTAATTAAGAGGGAAAAAAGACTGATCGGCCAAACCGAAGGATCGCTATGGCTTGGTATGCCTGCGGCTGGTTTGGTATCCCGACCCAATCACTGCCGCTGCTGATTGGGATCGTTGCCACGTGGGACCTTCTCCCTTGCTTCTCGTGCGCGGAAGGAGCGGCTGCGAAGTTCATGCCAGGAGTCTCGGTCGTCCGCAGGGACGACCGGATGGGCGTGTCGTCGGCAGAAGCACGACCGGTCGCTAGCCCTGATCGCCTCCTGGAAGCCTCTGCAGGCCGGTGGGAGCCGATCTCCCTGCACCCGTTGTTTGTCAAGGAGAAGAGCGGGCCGCTTGTGAAGCACCCCGTTATGCGTGCTAGTGGTGACGCTTATTGGTGCGGATCTGCTATATTCCATCTCGTGGTGGCAGAACCCGCCCAACTGGACAAAGAAGTGGACAAAGCCATGATTTATTATGTCCTGGACGAGTTGTGCATAGCCCGGAACTTAACCATCACAGACAGGGCGATATCATCAGGAACGCAAGTTTCTCGCTGGCTGATCGAGCACCGTCTCTCTTGAATGCTAACGACAACAACACGCTCGTAACCTACTGGTGGCCGGCTTCCTCGCCCAATGGGACAAAAGTCTTTGAGCGGCCATTCCTGAAGTTGGGGGTGAACATGGGCTCTTGGGTGGTTCAAACGACCGTCTTCTACTACGGCCTGGACTTGTCGAGATCGCAGAGCAACCTGGTCGTCAGTTCTCAGCCCTACGATGTCGACGGCAAGCGCATCATCACCTCTGTCTCTGTGATAGATGGGTCGCGCTCGTCAATCGATCCGGGTGTGAGCTCGCTGCAGAGCTTGGCCCTCGACCCCGCCAACAACACCCTGTACATATCCGACAACTCCGAGACGTCCCCGACGATCCTCTCCATGCCTGTGTCCGACTCAGGTCTTCCCACAGCTAGGCGCGACCAGTCCCAGGTGCTCAGCACGTTTGGGGATACCAGCGTCTCGTCGATTTACTTCGGTCCCTACAGCTTCGTCTCGGGCGGGAGCTGCATGTACTTCCGCGACGACGAGCAAAACCGCGTGTGGGGTTTCGATCCCCACCGCTCCTCCTCCACCTTCAACGTCACGCTGGTGGCAGGATCGGCACTCTCGGGGGAGCGCGGCGTGCAGAATGTCGATGACGCCAACACCACCTTCTACCGTATGCAGGCGCTGGTAACCACACCCGATGGGTGCAATCTCTTCGTCACGGACGAGAKGGMMGGGAATGGACTGGTTCGATGGCTGAAGCTAGAGCGGCCCTGTAGCCTGGCAACAMGCGTGGAGGTGGTGGCAAAACACAACGGCATAGGGTCGTCCAGCCTGGCCTTGCACATAGCTRAGGGTCGGGTAAGTCTCTTTCTTGGCTCGTCAGATGGCGACGTGTTTCAGCTGGTAATCAACGAGGAGCTTCTAGGGGGTTGCGGCTCTGACCAATCTCCCCTCGGCAGCGGCAGCAGCCCGCCGCCATCATCGTCCTCCTCACTCCCCCTCCCCACTCCTTCACCTGCCGATTCCCAACCGAACCTGCCGAAATCACCGTCCTCACTCCCCGCCACAACTCCATCTGCCAAAACGAAATCGAACCTAGCGCTCATCATCGCTCTGTCCTTGGGTGGAGTCGGCTTAACGACAGTCCTTGCCCTTCTAGGCGCTTTCTGCTACAAGAAGCAGGCTAGCGGACAGAAGTCGCGATCCCGACAGGGTGAGCCGCAGGCTGGGATAGCCTCCACCGATGCCCCCTCGAGGGCCAGCTCGTTGGTAACTGCCGCGTCGGGATCTTCTCCATCCGTCGGGAGCGGGAGCACGGTGGACGGGTCGTCCTCGGCCACTCCCGACGATCGATCGAGGCGCAAGCGATTGGAGCTCTCTCCGTCCAACGTGCAGCGCTTCGAGCTGAAGAGCTTGGCAGACTGCACGGACGACTTCCATCCCTCCAAGCTCATTGGCGACAAGGGGGCGTTTGGCGTAGTCTACAGGGGTTCCATTGACGGAAGGGAGCTGGCCATCAAGGTGGTGACGGGCGAGTTGACGGACGTCAAGAAGGCACAGCTCGTTGCAGAGGTGAACACTCTGAGCAGGTTGAACCATGCCAACCTCGTCGAACTCGTTGGGTATTGTCAGGAGGGAGAGAAATCCATCTTGGTCTACCCTTACTACGCGGGGGGAAGTTTGCAGCAGCGATTGCACGCCGATAGGATAGAGACAGAAGAAGAAAAAGAGCAAGAACAGGGAAAAGAAGGACAACGACAAGAAGCCCTTGTGCACAACAACGAGAACAAGCATGATTTCTCACCGTTGACGATAGAGGAGCGCATGCGCATCGCTTTCCAGATTGCCAAAGGACTAAGCTACCTGCACGACGGCGCAAGGCCAGCTATCATTCACCGAGATATCAAGAGCAGCAACGTTCTGCTCGGGGAGGGAGAAGGGGACACCGTCGAGGCGGTCCTGGCCGACTTCGGTTTGGCGGCCATCGGGGAGAGAGTGTTTGGCACAGGGTACGAGCACTTCGTGCAGACTTCGCACGTGGGGGGTACTTTCGGGTACATGTCGCCCGAGTACAGGCTGTACGGCAAGCTGTCGGAGAAGAACGATGTGTACTCCTTCGGCGTGCTTCTTCTCGAGCTGCTGACTGGGCGAAAGGCTGCCTGGCCGGCGGAATCGGGGATGGGATGGGAGATGCTGGCCACGTGGGTCGGCCCGTTCCTTTCAGGAGGAGGGGATGATGGAGATGGGGATCCCGAGAGTATCGACGACATGCCGTTGGCGATTCTCGATCCTTCCTGCCGCGACCAGGTGGCGCGTGCGGCTCCCGCCAAAACCATGGTGATGGAGGCCTTGTCCCTGGCGGGAGATTGCGTCAACGACCAAGGCAGGCATCGGCCCGCCATGAGCATCGTGGTGCAACGCCTTCGCGCCACATGTCAGCACGCGGGGATAGCCTTGTGAAAGTTAACTCTTTTCATCCCGCGTCAATGCCCCCTACATAGTTTCTTCTTCCCCCAACATGGAACGCAGGGTCGTTATGGCTGTATCTCTATTGATGACTGAACACACCGTTAATGACGGTGCGGCCCTTCTATTTGGGGGAAAAGGAAGTCCCTGAGAGAGTCAGAGCTTAAGCCGCCACGTTGACATGAGAACTCCGTTCATAAATGAAGCCAGAAGCTATGAATCCTCCCCAAGGGCGGCCACGTGCGGCCGTGGCACAGCGCGGGAGTGGGGGTGGCTTGTTCGGCTTGTGCAACCCCAACCCCGCCCCCTAACACCAAAAAAAAAACAAGACATGAATTCTGGCAGATAAGATGTTGTTGGTGAATTCTGTTTTTTTTTTAAACCAGAAAAGGGGAAACTGCTCTTGAGTCACCTTTTTAGTTTGAAATAGGCAAGAAAAGACAAAGGGGCGCTGATGTCATTGTTGGAGTTTCATAATGTGCAATTTTAGCTGGGGGGCTGAAACTGTGGCCCTTTTTTGAAGTGGCATGAAAGCAGATTTAGCGGAGGCCCTTTTTTGCCCTGTTTCGAGAACTGCTGAAGTTGCCTATTACAAAAGCAAGGTGTGACCCAGGACTGCAGGAGTCATTGCCGCCAAAAAATAAATTTTGATTCATTGATTGATTGGGATTTGGTCTATTGATTGACTGATTGATTGATTGATTGATTGATTGATTGATTGATTGATTGATCGATTGATTGGGATGGGTTGATTGATTGATTCATTGATTCATTGGGATGGGTTGATTGATTGATTGATTGATTGATTGATTGATTGATTGATTGGTGGGGGAGGGGTCGCTCCTCCCTCCCCTCCCATATACACTCACCCACTTTTTTTTCACGTTCTTACGTTTTCTATTGATTAATTGATTGATGGGTGGGAGAGGGATGCCCCCCCCCCCCGCCCAACACACACACACATAACAAAACACACCCTAGGTCTTTTTTGTTTCCACTTTTTTTTTTCAATTTCTTTTCACCTTTTTTTTTCTTTCAATTGACTGATTGATTGATTGGTGGGGGAGGGGTACTCCCCCACACACACATGCACACACACATACACACAACAGGAAGGAAGGAAATTCTTTTTTTTCCTTTTTTTTTTTTTTTTTTTTTTAAATACCAAAAAATAAGCGGTTTGGAAACAAAAATTAGGGTGTAGGGTTAGAGAAGCCCTACATCCCCATATTTTCCTCCCATCTTTTAAATCCCCGAAGTCCCGCGTCGCCGGGCGGCCAGGATTGACCTGGCGGTGGCAGCCCATGGTGATACACAGGCCAGAAGCAATCAAATCAAGATAATAAAGGAGACGAAAAGAAGGTAAGACGTCGTATGATGAGAATGTATCGGAAAGTATCCCATCACAAGACCAATGACTAGTATTATACCATACGAGGGCAAGTACTCGTTTTCTCAGACACTCATAGATAGGCTGGACAAACTTGGTGTTTCCCTTAAACCACCAGTACTTCCTCGAGTCCTGTCCGTTAACGCGCCACGACTTTAGGAAACGTAGGGGCTACTACAGGAGCGCCCAAATTCTAAGAGACCGAGAGAGAGAGAGGAGCCAGCTGAGGGTTCAATCCCCATTGGCCTCATGTACCGTCCTGGGCATACTTGGCACCAGCTACCCAAGAGATAGACCACTGCATCCCCTGATCGGCATTAAGCAGAGTCTGCTGATGTTCGTAGGGGAGGGGACCTGAGGGGAGGCACAGGGATTGGTCCTGTTGGCATGGTCCGTGATGCTACCGGCTGTCCCCTGGCCGGTATCGCCCACCTGCAGGTTGGGAGCAGCCCCCGCATGTTCTCTTGTGAACACGGTTCTGGCTGCTACGGGGTTCCCCATATGCCTACAAGTAGGAGTAGTGGTAGGTAGGTAGTGTGAGGTGAAATTGAGAGAAGAAAATAGTTAAAAAAAAAAAAAAAAAAAAAAAAAGAGAGAGAGGACAGAAAAAGGGGAAAGAAAGAAGAAAGAAGAACGAAGTGAAGGTAAGTAGAACATATTTGCAGGAGAAAAAACTATTGCCATGGGCATTCTCTTCTGCCAGGTGGGCATCAAACATGGGATAACTGGTAAATTTTCCCGTTTGGTGAAAAGTGCCGACCAGGGAATGAAGCTGACGCGGATACAGCATCACGTTCACTATCTGGTAGGGAGGTGGACCACAGGCGGTCAGCAGTCTGCACCCAATCTCGGCCGCCAGATTCTTACATCCTAAGACCTGTGTTGCCCATGGGTGCTTTTTGCCAGGTGGAAATGGTTTGGGCGCCGTTTACCGAAAAACAAGGGCGCGGTCAGGGTTACAGTTTGAAAATACATTTCAAACTGCCGTTTTGGAGTCCGCCGTCGCGTGGCTGCTTGAAAATACATTTCAAACTGCCGTTTTGGAGTCCGCCGTCGCGTGGCTGTCGCAGGGCAGAGTTTGTAACTGCAGTCTTGTCATCCACGGCGGAGGGCCAGGCCGTTTTCCGAAAAAGAAAAGAAGAAACAAGAAGGAAAAAAAGATAGCGGCGCTGTATCTTTCCATGGTCTAGCTAAAGATTCCCCAGTCTCGCCACACCACTCTCTAATCTCGAAAAAAATTGAGGGCTGTCAGAACTTTTCGAGAGGGCGGTTTTGGAGAGAAAAAGGCCCTTTGCCACATAGCACACCCAAATTTCCCTCTGGAACGTGGATGCTCTCCGCGGCCAGATTCGGTAGTTCTGTGTGGCAGAGCCAACTCTCGAATTGGAACAGTGTCCGCCACCTTCCAGGTGCGTTTTTGAGAGTTGCTTTCGAGATTGCGCTGCTCTCCTTCAGCGCACTACCATCCAAAATGGCCTGACAGCTCTCAAAATGGACCACGAACTCGAGCACCGACGGGCGGTATCACGAAAACCCCGAAGCTGCAGGCTGGGCTCAAAAATGGTTTCGAGAGGGCCCTCGAAACCGGCGTTCTGACAGCTCTCGAAGACATCCAAGGGTGTTTTTGGGGGGAGGCTGTGTGGCGGTGCCCAACTCCCGAATTTTCGAGATTCTAGAGTGGTGTGGCCAGGCCCTCACACTCTGTTTCCAGGACTGAACTCCAAATGTGCAAAACGAGAGTGAATCTTCCCCAGAACATGGAAAGATACAGCTCCATGATTTTTGTCTTCTGTGCAACGGGAAAACAGGGGCCCAGCGGGATAGACGGGCTGACAAAAACGCATAGGCCCTAGGGGAGACACGTGCTGACAACAACCCAGTTTCTTTTCTTTTTTTTTCTTTTTTTTTTTTCTCTTTTTTTTCCTTTCTCATATTTCCCGACCTACGCGTGTCATCCTTGGGGCCTCGTGGTGGTGCATCTTTCCATGTTGTACCGGAAGATTAAGGGCACACTCACACTAGGACCTTTTTACGCATTCTTGGAGGGAATTGCGGCCAGATACATCAAGGTATGCCCGTCAGATACATTTGTGACACTTCTAGTGTGAGTACGCCCTCACTCGTTTTGCATGGCTCCACAACTCTAGAAATGTGCAAAAGGAGAGCGAATCTTCCTGTAGAACAGGGAAAGATACAGGGCCCTTGATTTGTGTCTTTTGTGCATGTCGAGAATAGTGGAGCAAGGCCCTCTGTTTTTTTTTTTTTTCCCCCTATAAATCTAGGCTCCGTTGTGTGGCTGGCCACTGCCGTGATGCCTCGACCACATCCGAGGTTTCAAAAAAAAAAAAAAAAAAAGAGAGAGAGCATCCCATCGCATGGTTCGGCCACGGCCGAGATTAAGAGTCGGACCCCACCCCTCGGCTTCATGGAAGTATCTTTCCAGGACGGTGTGTATGGGACTCCACTGATCTGGAAAAGAGGATGGAAACCCAGAATTGGAAGGTTTTTCAGACCCCACAGACCGTGGAAAGCCGTTGCGGGGAAGGTGTCAGAAGCGTTTCTACTCGGTTGGCGGCCTGGAAACCAAAGCGCGCGGCCTTCCAGGACCTTTCCAGAAATGCCTTCCAACCGAGTGGGGGGGGATGGCATGTTCTCCCGTGGAAAGAAGATGCCGAGCCGGCATGGTCCAGCTGACCGACCGTTTCATGGGCAGGCATGCCCCCTCGGACATGCGCTGCCCTGTCGAACGGTTCCCATATGGGCTGTTGTGTGGCTGGCCTGCGCGGGCCCTTTCTTTTTTTTTTTAGAAAGACGAGCTCCATCTATTGGTGGGGAGCAACACCTGCTGGAAACCAGGTCCAGCGTCCCTGAAATACATCATAGCATTGATTGGTTCATATGAATGAAGGAAAATGCGTATGATGGAAATGATAGCGATGAAAAAAATAGAATTGTACTATCTCAGCCATTCTGGCCTCCTAATCCTAGAACAACTCCTAGCTCTTCCTTACCATGATATTCCAACTCAGGGACAAGACTAACCTAACCAACAACTACCATAGCTGATCTCTTCTCACCACCTAGACTAACCCCACCCCATAGGTTGTCGAGGCAGCCCCCCCGGTTCGCCACTGGTTTGCTTTCCTCCCTCAGCTAACCCCAGATCTCTCTACAAGGCCTCCCACTCCTGCCCAATTGCAGGTTACAGGGCTATGCCCCAGCTCCGGCCAGCGTCGTTCTGGCATCGGCGATGCAGGAGCATAGAACAGAGCAGCGCAGCAGTTATCAGTCCAGGTTTGACGATCTCTTAATTCCTATATCCCTAGTGAGGTAGAGGACAGGGTGCCGCCTAAAATTATGAAGCACCAGAAGGCTTGTTTTGAGTTTTTGAAAATTCTGAAAAAGCTTTTATTGGATCTAAAGTATGTGGATATATCAGCAACTCCGGCTTCCTAATCCGAGGGCAACTCCTAACCCTCCCTGTACCAGGACGCTACTACTCAAAGACAGTATCAACCAAACAACATCAACCATAGTTGACCTCTTCTCGCCACCGAGACTATCCCCGACCCCAAAGGGTGTCAAGGCGGCCCACCCAATTCACCATAGGATTGCCTTCCTCCCTCGACAAACCCCAGATCTCTCTACAAGGCCTAACGCTCCTACGGTAGCAGGTTACAGGGTAACGCCCCAGCTCCGGCCAGCGTCGTTCTGGCATCGGCAAATTGAGAGCATAGAACAGAGGAACCATACTGATGTCAGTCCAGGTGTAACCATCCCTGAGATCGAAGATCCTAACGAGGAAGAAAGTCAGATGCTGCTCTAGCTCTCAGAACCCCGGAAAGCTGAATGTAACATGTAGTCACTTCGCAGAGAAAAAAATTCCCCTATGCCTCCACCCCTGTCCCACGCTGCCTCCGCCGAAGAAATTCACCTCGGCCCCAACCTGGAACAGATCCCCTCCCTCCCCTCTCTGCCAAGACAACCCATTCCCGCCTAGAGGTTGCCTTCGCCCTCCCCTTTGTCCCTATCTGCCCCCGCCGGGCTTGAAGGCGACCAATTCTCCCACCCTGTCCCCAGACAAGGACAATCCACAAATCTGCCCCACCCCCGACAGGGCAGCCAGCTCCCACCTTGCAGCGCCCCTGTAGAGTAAGGCTCCCAAACACCTCCCCCACCCATTCCCCAAAAATCCACCCATGACCACAGATTTTTAGTTGGTAAAGATAACTATGAAGGTAAATGATGTTGATGGTGATGATGATGACAATGATAACTGATGATAAGAATCGACTTCAGATGGTAAACATAACGATGAAGATAATGATGATGATGATGATAATGATGATGATGATGACAAAGATGATATGGTGATGATAATGATGATGGTAATGATGATGATGGTGATGATGGTGATGATAATGACCAAGGATGATGACGGTGCTAACTCACACCTAGGATGATGAACTAATGATGATACTGATAAGGATGAACAACGCCAATAGCGCCCTAAGATAGTAAACTATTGATGATGGTAGCACTACTGCTAATGCTAACGTGAAAAATGATGATGGTGATGAACAACGCCAATAGCGCCCTAAGATAGTAAACTATTAATGATGGTAGCACTTCTGATGATGCTAACGTAAAACATGATGATGATGACGAACTACACCAGCGGACTTACCTTGTTGCTGATAGTAGTGACGAAATCTACCTTGATGATGAGGACGAGTTATACCCTGATGATGAGGACGAGTTATACCCTGATGATGAGGACGAGTTATACCCTGACGATGATGACGGTGATGACAAGCAGCATCCTGATGATGATGACGAAACCCTCACCCCGGTGGTGATGTCGAAGCACGCCCTGTTGATGATGATGATAACTATGATGATGACGAGCAGCACCCCGACGAGCAGCCTCCTGGTGACGATGACGAAACCCTTACCCTGGTGGCGCTGTCGAAACACGCCCTATTGATGATGATGATGATGATTCCAAGCAGCTCCAGTGCAACGATGCCAGATGATGTCTTCGAAGAGGATGACAACCCACGCGCACTTCAGGTACCAAGGGCTGACTCCACTGTGCTCCACAGGCGCGGACTAACCCAACGCCTCATGGCCCTATGCCACGGGTAGAACCGCAGCGGCGATGGGGCAAAACGCGAAACTCCCGAGCTACCGTCAAGGGTCGGTCTATCCTCCACGTCAGCCAGTGACGTGGCCTAGACCAGCGCCTCCAGGCCCTGCACGTGCGCTACGCGCTGGAATTGCCGGCTGGAAGATCACCACCTCCTGCCATCGCCCCGATATTGCGCTCCAGCTTAGAACTTCGTCGTGGTTGATGTCGGGGCGCAACGCTCCTATTGTCTGCCCTCACTGATTGTCCTGGGTCGCAAGCCCTGATTTCCGAAATGGCAACGAATTTCAAATTAAAAAAACGGGAGGGCCGGGGACGACGGCGTGCGGAGTGCAATGACATCGCTGAGGAGCATTATAGGCGCATGGCGCAGGGTCTTTGGTCGGCGACATGGTCTTTGGCAGTGTCACCGCGCAGGGTATGGGCAATGGTTGCATACGGAAAGAGCGGCCGGCGTGGTGACGGTTGTGCGGGCAGGGAGCCGTTCGGGAGAAGACGTTTCGGCAATCAGTCGTGGTGTGAACATACTGCATCGACTGTTGTTTCAGCCCGCATGGGCTGCGACGGGAGTTGTCATTCCACGTATACCGCCATTGTCTTCATCAGCTTTTCCTCGTCCTCATCAGATTCCGCGTGGCTGAACGTGTGATAACAGTGATATGGATCTTCGCCGAAGTCCCCTGGACTTGGCTGCACGCGATTGCGTGCTCCAATCTCCACATCCATATATTGTCGACGTGGTCGTTGGTCCTTCTTTGTGTTGTTGTCGTGCCTGTCCGTCATGCCATCATCGTTGCTGCCCCCTCCGATTGTCGTCATCCACGAATCAAGCACTGTTGGTGGACGAACGCAGCAGTTGTGGGCTGCAATAGGTTGCTGTTTTGTTGTCATCGTCTTCGTCTTCACCACCTTGTTGTCGTCCATTTTCGGGTTCTGTATCGTTCTTTTCGTCGTCGTCTTCTGGCCAGTACTGGGACTGTAGTGGTGCAGGCAGGTGATCTACTACTTGCGGTGGTCAGCGTCGACGTTCGTGGCCTTTGCGAGCGGGGTGAGGGGTGGGAGGGGAATGGATCCGAGTCGGTGGACGGCGGAGAACTAGGGAGGCATTGAGGGGGGAATGGATCCGAGCCGGTGGAGGGCGGAGAACCAGGGAGGCATTGTGGGGGAAATGGATCCCATTCGGTGGAGGGCGGAGAACCAGGGAGGCATTGAGGGGGGGTTCCCGACGCGGGACGAACGTCCACTAAGTACTCATGTCCATCATCGTTGGGGCTACAGTCCCTCACTGGACAGCTGTACGACCGGGGGCGAGGTGCACCGATTCGTGTCCCGACAACCCCCCTCCCCTCTTCGCTGTCTCATGCAGACGCAGCGGAGCAGCGTGCCCGGTCCCATATTCGGCCACCTGCCACAAGTATGCCTCTTGGAGGTGGTCACATGGGACATACACCGTACGCCACCCAAGTCGGTGGTGGGTATGGCATGGGCAGTGCACATACATTGTCGGTGGGAAGCGGTATCGACTTCGCTGCTCACGTGTTCCCCGCGCAGCAGACGTTTGATATGGCGAGTGCAATGCGCAATGATCGTCCTTGGTCCCCGCAATCCAGCCAGACTTCCCAATCGTCGCATGCCATGTACTCTAGCACCCCCACTCTGTTTAGTAGACGATCACCTTCCACCTCCGGTCCTTCCACTGTGGACGCCGACGGACGTGACATGGACAATGCATGGACGCTGCATTGCGGGACTTCTGTCCCGTCGGGGTTCAACAGCGATGCCGCAAATGGCTACGATGGTCAAGCGTGCGAGGATATGGAGGATGACACCAGTAACGGAGATGGAGATGATGTTGGCGATGAGAATGGCGATGGAGGCGGTGTTCTAGAAACGGACAAGGCCAGTGATTCCAATGGGAGAAACGATAGCAGACGTGGGCAGAAAACGGGCAGGAACGACGGACCACCAAAAAACAAAAAACAAAACTTCCCGCAGTCCGCTATGACACGCAGGGTGCACCAACTGTACTTCCCAAAGCCCCCTATGACACGATAGGTTCCCCGCGGGTATCCCTGCCTGACCCACTTACGAAAGTTTTTACATACAGTCGCAGAGGTAGGTCAGCCGAGGCCGTTTGCTTGTTTCGCTCTAGCATAGGTTATGATAGGTACGCTTGGTCAAAACAATTTTTGAACCAGAACATCGTCCGCCCCTTAGGGCTTCTTCTTCCTTTTCCTCAGGCACTTCTTCTTCTTCTTCTTCTTCTTCTTCTTCTTCTGCTGCTGCTGCTGGTGCTAGGCGGGTTCCTTTCTATGAATCCCCCGCGGTCGCGGTCACGACCGGGGACCGTGGTCTCGGCCACGAGGTCGCGGTCATGACCGTGGTCCGCGGTCATGAAAGAAAGAAAAAAAAAAAAAATTCAGAACAATCTTAAAAAAATATATGTTATGCCCAAAAATAAACAAAACAACATTTGTCTTGGGGTCATATCAAAATTCGTTACCAAGTTTGAGACAAAAATACAACAAAATCTTTTTTTTTTCTTACTAAAAGAATAAAGTGAAGAACTTTTGCCTGAGGGATTTCTGCTTTCCATTTTTTTTAAATCGAAAAAAAGTCAAAAAAATAAAACTAAAAATATACAGTTGTAGAGCGCACAAAAACCTACAACCCCATACTTTTATTTTATTTTTTGGCCTATCATCCCAGGATTTAAAAATGTCGGGGTTTCCCGACGGCACTTGGCCGCGGGCGCCGCCCGCTGCGGGATGGCGACCGCATGCGGTCACATGGCCCGCGGTCACGACCGCATGTGATACATAGGTTCCTTTTCCTTTCTCCTCACTTTTTCACTACGATTTGTTCTCGTTCTTCTTCTGCCTCTTCTTCTTTTGATAAATATTCCTCTTAGTCGTCTTCCTCTTCTTATTCTTCATTTTCTTCTTCTTCTTCTTCTTCCTCTTCTTCTTCTTCTTCTTCTTCCTCTTCTTCTTCTTCTTCTTCTTCTTCTTCTTTTTTTTCTTCGATCTTCTTCATTTCATGAAAATTTTCTCTGTTGATTAATTTTGTAACTTTTTGAGTTCAGTTGTATAATTGGTGGTAGTGAACATGCACATGATTTTTGCAGCACCGAAGATGTGACATTTGCATATTTCTTGTATCAAATGTCAAATTGTTTTTGGCCTATTTTTGTTTGCTTTTTCCTCATTCTTTTCCTTCTGGTCATTTTCTTCTTCCGTCATGCATTTTCTATTGATTGTTCGACCATCTTTGTGACACACGCGGCCTAGGCCGCATGCAATTCGTCCGCCGCAGCTGAAAAATTCGACCGCAGCCGCGGCCGCCAGGCCAAGTTTGCAGCCCGATTTTTTGGATATTTTTTGGGGGGTCGAAAAGTAGGTCAGAAAAAAAAATATATATACGGTTGTAGGGTTTTGAAAACCCTACAACCCCATACATTTTGTTTTTGAATTTGACTTCATTTACGATTTGTAGTGAAAAATGAAAATCAATTAAAAAAAACTAAAAAAAAAAAAAAAGAATAAATAACAAAAAAACATGAATTAGTTTTTCCTATTTTTTTTATGACTGATATGCAGTTAAGAGTCCTATAAATTTTGCAAAGGACCAAGGTAATTGTTTTTTTTTTCTTCTTCTTATGTGCTGTTTCTTTTTCTTTTCTTTTTTTCTTCTTCGTCTTCTTATTCGGGCAATTCGGCGGCGGTGGTCACATACACACACACCGATGAAGGGAGGGAGGGAGAGACTCCGAGAGAGAGAGAGAGAGAGAGAGAGAGAGAGAGAGAGAGAGAGAGAGAGAGAGAGAGAGAGAACAGGTAAGTCTCCAACGTCGTGGCTGGCCTCATGGTACTTCCTTGGATAGGATGAGAAAAATCGAATGAATCTAGCGCTAGAACGTGGAACTATACACTGCCACACTTGTTTTTCTGTGTGTGTGTGTTTATGTGTGTGTGTGTGTGTGTGAGAGAGAGAGAGAGAGAGAGAGAGAGAGAGAGAGAGAGAGAGAGAGAGAGAGAGACAGACAGACAGAGACACAGAGAGACAGAGAGACATAGAGATGGACACTCACACACACACAACAAATATAACACATCTGAAAACGACGATTGTTACGCCCCCAAAATTTCACTTTTCTTTTTTATTGAGATCATTCCGGACGGGGACGCCATGCGCAGGCAATGCGCGCCCCGTTCTCAGGCGCGCAGCTCCGCCTGGATGTGGCGCGGCTGCAAACTTTCTCAGCCGAGCAGCCTAGGCCCGGGGGTAGCGGCAGGCCTCCTCGGCCGCGGACGAGGCCGCAGGATCCGCGGTCGTGGGGGTCACGTAGTCGACCATGAAGACTTAGATTCTTTCTTCTTCGTTTCGCTTTCCTTTTTTTCAAAGTCTCTTTTGTTTAGTTGATTGTTAGTTTGACATGAAAATTATTGATCGAAGTTACAGTAACATATATATATATATATATATACATATATGATACTTGCCCTGCCGCCCAGGTCACCCTAATTTCCTAGGCGGCTTGAGAAAGGACCAGGGAAGGGCAAGGAAGCTCCATCGCCGGCGTGCTTGGTTTGTGTTCCGTCACCGGTTGGTCTGTCCTCCAAGCGCCGACGTGATTGGCCTGTGGTTTATCATCGACGAGGGAAGTTGTGCAGACAGGGTAGGCGGTTGTCCGCCGTGCAGGTCCACCACGTACGACCGCCACGGATCCTTGAGGACCTAACCCGAGTTAATGAAGAAACCAGGACTGCAACTAGTCCCACTACCGGGCCCACATGTCCCTTAAAAAAACAAGTACTGATTTTCTTTTGCCTTCGGACTCTGACCCTCTGCCAACCCTCGAAAACAGCGAAAAGTCAAGAAAAAGCGGGAAAACAGCCACTTTTCCCATTGTTTTTCAACACTGAAACTAAACACGTATTCCGGCGGTTGTTCCATACATAAACCCAGTAGCGTGAGTGGATTTCTAATGACCGAAATTCAATACGATAGCGTGTTCCGTCGGTTATGGCCGAACGATCCTTGTAATTAACTTAAACGTGTGCAAGGGACAATAAATTCGTTGTGTGTTTGCCGCAGATTGTGAACAGTCGGTCTATGGTTGTAGGGTTGTTGGTTTTAGGTTCAGGGTTTAGTCCTCCAAACTATGTAACCGTTTGAACGCGTTTGACGCGCGTTTAAACGCGTTCAAACGCGTCACGTGGCATACAGTGGGAGAAAACTGAACGCGCGCCCCTCACCTGGGTGCGCGTGTCAGAAACCACTATGGGGCACGCACAGTTTTGGGGGGAAAAAAAAAGTGTGTGTGTGTGTGTGTGTGTGTGTGTGTGTGTGTGTGTGTGTGTGTGTGTGTGTGTGTGTGTGTGTGTGTGTGTGTGGATTGATTGATTGATTGATTGATTGATTGGTTTGATAGGCTGGATTGTTTGATTGATTGGTTGGTTGATTGGTTGATTGGTTGATTGATTGGCTGGTTGGAAAAAAAATACAAAGAAAAAAAAAGAAAAAAGAAAAAAAACCTGCAGCGGTGGCAAGGGGGGGAGCAGCATTGGTCATCATGGTCATGGCGTCGAGGGCAGCGGTGGCGGCGTTGGGGCCAGAGCTAAAGACGTCATAGGCAGTGGTGGTGGCGTTGGGGCCAGCGTCGGCGATGGGGGGAGCAGCGGCGATTGGAGGAGGAGAAAGATGTGGTGGAAGAGGAAGAAGAAGAGGAGGAAGAGGAGGACATGAAGGACAAGAAAGAAGAAGATGAGGAGGAGAAGAGGGAAGTTATGGCGGGTCAAAAAAAAAAAAAAAAAACAGCAAGTGGCACATGGCACATTCTCAGAGGAGGAGGAGGAGGACAGGGAGGACGACAAAGAAGAAGAGGAGGACGAGGAGGAGGAGAAGGAGGAAGGAGAAGATGAGGAGGCAGAGGAAGTTGTGGCAGGCGAAAAAAAAAAAAGCTCAAGGGTGTGTGTGCGTGTGTTCGTGTGGGTGTGGGTGTGTGAACTGCGCGCTAGTGCGCACGAACACACAGACACAGGAGTTTGCTCTTCTACACACACACACGCACACACACATACACACACACACACACACACACACACACATACACACACACACACAGACTCCGTGAAAGTCCCCCGAAACAGTCTGGCACAGTCATGCATTTTTTAAGGTGTACAGCGAACAGGACAACACACAAAGATGGAGGTTAGTTTTTTTTTTCGTTTTGTTTCTTTTTCGTTGTTTATTTTCCGTTTCATTTTAGCCGCAAAACCGTTCAAGTTGAGAACGCGTGTTCAAAGCGTTCAGTTTCTGAACACAAAACCAGCGTTCAATGAACGCGTGGTTTCATAGAATCCAAAGCATGCAAACAAAATGATTGGTGGGCTGACTGATAGGGTTCCACTCATACTCTAACACTGTGGATCAGATGGCAAGGTGTGTGTGATGTGCATTTAATAAATAGTGAATGTGTGCATCTACGTAGCCAACTTCTTCACGTATGATAACACGCGTGTGTTTCGCGGCATGCAAATGTCAGTGGCTATGAAACACCCGCGGACGCGTCCGCGGGGTCGAGATCGGAGGGCGGCCGTGATCACGGCCGCCGCGGCTCCGGCCGTGGTTGGGTGAGGCCGCGACTTTCAGGGATTTTTTTAGACTTTAAAAAATTCTCAAAAATAAAAAATAAAAAAAAATGGGGTTGTACATCTTTTTGAGATTTAAACTACATACATTTTTATTTTAGGGTCTCGTTAGACACTCCTAAAAGAATCCTAAAATTTTAAGGACGAGTCCTAAAGGATTTTTAGGATTTCGTGCAGCGTCGTTACACGAAATCCTAAAAGTTTTATCTTTTAGGATTCGTCTTAAAAGGTCTCCTGCGGCCGGTTTCCATATGTGTGTACGCACCGGCGTCGCCAATGTCCATCCATTCCTACCAATGTTCGTCCAATCCCCGCCAACGGCTACCGTTCGTGGCCGTTGCCCTCGTCGACTCGCAGAAAACCTTCGATGTCCGACCACTGACCCGATGGACCGCTTCTGCACCAGCAACTCTGTGTCGAGGGTGCCATGCGCGCGACGCAATGAGTCCGTGAAACGCGGGAATCCTTAATTTTTCAGTAGGTCGGGGGCTACTGGAAAATTTAGGATGATTTTGCCAGGGGAATCCTAAATCCTTTAGGATTCGTCCTAACGCTGTTTTGACATTTTCGATATCAAAATTGGATCTAGGGTTGCGCGCAACCAGGACGCAGTCCTAAAAATAGGCACTTTTAGGAGTGTCTAACGAGACCCTTATTTGTTGACTTCGTCTTTGAATTTTAAAATTAAAAAACTAATTTTCCTGAGGTAAAAGCTGTTTTTGTTTTTGTTTTTCAAGAAAAAATTAAAAAACTTATGTTTTTTTTTTTTTTTTTTAATTCACGAGAGTTTTTGGATATGACCCCAAGGCAAAAGTTGTTCAGTATATTTTTGTGCATAACAGGGATGCCGGTGTTCGGGACAGGCCGAACGCCCGAGCCCGAACGCCTGAACGTACGGGACCCCTTCGAAAGGCGTTCGGCCGTTCGGGCTGCGGACCAGAAAAAGAAAAACAGAAAAAAAAACAAAGTTTTCAAAAAATTCCAAAAAAAAACAAATGTTATGGAGAAAACTGAATTAAACAACATTTGCCAGGACACTACATCCAAATTCTTTACCAAATTTGAATTAAAAATCAAATACAGAAAATAAACACTATGATAAAAATAAGATAAAATAAAAAGAGAATTAAAATGCGTGAGTGTGCCAGCACCTTTTCGACACCGCCATCTTTGCCGATTTGTAATTATTTTTTGGCATGGACAAATGCCCTGAAAATTTTACAGATATGTTGTTTATGTAATCAGTAACTCATTTAAAAAAAATTCAAAAAATAACAAAATTTTTTAGGCCCCGAAATAAAGCGAAAACAAAAAGTTAAAAGTGAAAAAAAAACAAAATAGTGAGTGGGTGAGCATGTTTTGATACCCCCATCTTTGACGATTTTTATTTGGCTTAGCAGAATGACTTCAAAATTTATAGGCGTGTAGGTTACATCATAGAGAACTCACAAAAAAACATTCAGGAAACAAAACTTATTTTTAGGCCCTGAAATGTTTTTTGGCGCGGGCCAAACCTGGACGTGTTTGGCCCCCCCACACCTCCCCGAACGCCCGAACGTTCGGGGCCAGCCCGGGGGCCCGGAACGTTCGGTCAGGTAACCCTGGTGCATAACATATTTTGTTTTCAGAAATATTTGAACGTTTTTTTTTTTTTTTTTTTTCATTGCCGCAGGGTCGCGGCCTAGGCTGCAGCCATGGCCTAGGCCGCGCATGGCCGCCTCCGGGGGGGGTTCATAGGTCAGTGGTGAACGGCAGTGCCATACCCCCGTTCACCATTCACGGCCCTGGTGAACGCGCTCCAGTCACCTGTCATGTTTTTTGTGAGTTCACGCAGACCGGGAACTCTGTGTTTCTGTTTTTTTTTTGGCTATTAGGGGGGTGTGTTTTTTGCACACGTTTGTGCTCCATGTCAACGGACACCTGCCCATATTGTTTTTTTTTTTTTTTTTCGGAATATATTTTTTTATTGAAAAAATAAAATAAAAATCAAGTTCGGCTGTGTTAGGCATGGTTTTCGTCGGCCGTGTGGGGCATTCAAAGGCTGTTCTGGGCCCTAACAAAAAAAAACTATGATCATATTATGATGACATCATGACACTGCGGCAGGCTGTTAGCGCCATACTACAAAAAAAAAAAAAACGGTTGGGCCTCGTTGCCCGCAGGGCCCTTCGCCAACCCCCCCGCCACCTCCACCCCCAAATTTTATTTTATTTTTAAGGGGTAACTACGGCGCAGTCACGAAAGCAGTTTGTATTTGCATTTGAAACTGCGTTTTAGCAGTTTAGTCGGGGCCCGAGTTTCAATTGCAGTTGAAACTCGGGCTGCACAGTTCAGTCAGGGCCCTCGTCTATCCACGAACAGCAGATTAAAAAATAAAAAAAAAGAACATCCCTTATGCGGTGATTGCGGTCGTATACAGAATGCTACAGTGTCTGTCTGGAACTGAATGAAGAGAAGCAGTTAGCTGCCTCACGTGGAATCCGCCCTGCCTGGCTGGCAGGGCGCTACAAGGGCCTCACACAAGAAACAAAAAAGGAAGAGGACCTGTTTCATGTTCCTCACTTCCTGGCCAGATACATTCCTCAAAGCACTGGTGAGGTGAGGGCCTTCCCGACGTAGGTGGATTCGAAGTTCCTCGTTCTTTACTTTTTTATTTCTTCTTTTTCGTTTCTCTATTTTTGGCCTCCATCCCTGCCCTGAGCCCCCCATTTCTTTGGAGTAGGCTACTCTTGAGACTTCGCGTTTGCCTGTGAAGGGTAGTACCTGCGAATCTCGGCTGTGGCCGAGACATCTTGGCCCTGGCCAATCTGGGGCATGGCCAGTCTGGGATGTGGCCGAGACATCTCGGCCGGTCTGGGGTGTGGCCGAGACATTTCGGCCGTGGCCCAACCATGGGGCTGTTTTTTTTTTTTTCCCCCAGCTGCGGAGGGGCACGGCGCATTACGAAAAAAAAAAAAAAAAAAAAAAAAAAAAAAAAAAAACACCGAAGAAAGAAAGAAACGGGCATGTGCCTGAATAAACTACTAGAAAAATCCAGCCCGAGTTTCAAACTGCTAAAAAGCAGTTTCAAATGCAATTGGAACTCGGGCCCTTACTAAACTGCGAAAACGCAGTTCCAAATGCAATTACAAACTTTAACCCCGACTGCGCCGTAGTTTTTTTTTTTTTTTTTTTACCCATCTGAGAACGACCCCCCCCCTACATTTCACTTTTTTTTCCCCCTTAGTTGTTTCTGGTGGGAGACGCCATGAGCAGGCGATGCACGCGCCCCGATTTCGGTCACCCGGTTGCACAGCTCCGCCGCGGCCACGAAAAAACTTGGCCCCGCGGCCTAGATCGCGGGATCTGAGGTTGAGGGTGCCACATAGGTTGGTAGAAAGGTAGAGGCCGAGCAGAGGAAAGAGGTGAACGGGTGGAAGGGCAGTGTTAGTCCGAAATGGAAAGAAACGGGCCAACGCACACATCGGCACTTGAAAACAAAATACGAATCTTTTTTTTTTTTTTTTAAACAACCCGCGACAACCTGTAGGAGTGATGGTAGGCGCATGCACTCCTACTTGACTTGACGGGGGCTGCAGTCTATTGTTGGGGAGCTTCACCTGCTGGAATAATAGCACAGCACTTGCTGGAAACCATGCCCAACATCCCACCCTAACTTAGTTGATGCTCTACTGGTATAAGCANAGGCACGGGGGTGTAGAAGGCCCCCACACCACCCCCCTCCCACCCCGATCCCGACCGTACCGGCGCCCAGGTGGGCGGAAAACCCGTGAAGGGCCTGTAACCCTGACTGCGCTGTAGTTTTTTCTATTTTTAATCAAAGACACCCCGTTCGGTTCTTTTTTTTTTTTTGAAGGCACGGGGGTGTAGAAGGCCCCCACACCACCCCCCTCCCGCCCCGATCCCGATCGTACCGGCGCCCAGGTGGGCGGAAAACCCGTGAAGGGCCTGTAACCCTGACTGCGCTGTAGTTTTTTCTATTTTTAATCAAAGACACCCCGTTTGGTTCTTTTTTTTTTTTTGAAGGCACGGAGGTGTAGAAGGCCCCCACACCACCCCCCTCCCGCCCCGATCCCGATCCTACCGGCACCCAGGGGGGCGGAAAACCCGTGAAGGGCCGCCGTGTCACCGTGTCATGTAGAA